GGCCGGCGGCGACCGCGAGAATCAAAGGCACGGAGGGCGCCAGGGTGGGGTACGGGTTTAATGCGAGTTCCCCGGCTGAAACCGTACATCTCGTGTGACGCTGCTGACTGACTGCAATCACCGTACTGGGCGGAGGAAAGGCACGACAAAATAAGTGAAAAAAATATAAATACATACACCTTTTCGACATCTTCTCAACAATTGGCCTGCCACGTCCCTTCGTTCGGTAACAGATAGTTCTGGATTTCACCTAACAAGATCTATTGTTGTTTTTACTTTTCAAACTGATTGTCCCTGCCTGGATTTTTCTCCCTTGGGCATGCGTGAGTGCGTAGCCTTGCAACAGCCCTAAGAAGCGCACAGAAAGCAGCGGGGAAAGCTCTGTTGCTTCCCTCGGGTCCACTCGAATTGTATAAAGTTCCCTGTCAGAATGTACACGTCTAAAGCTATTCTGCCCGCATCAGTGAGATCCTAGATGAAGGGGCTCTACACCTGACAATTGGGCAGCAGAAGCTGGAGACACAGAGAACTAAGAGGAAGATTTTCTTTTTCCTAAGGACAATCATGATGTGAATTTACTGCTTGTGAAACACTAGTCTGGCAGACCCAGAGCACAACGGTGCCTGATAAGCAGAGCAGGTATCTCACAGGCAATAGCAGAAAAGGTTTCTCCCTCTTCCCTCTCTAACCATGGGTCTAGTCTAGACAGATTTTTACACCTACCAGTTCACCACAATCTCTCAGCACTTGCCTCACTCATTTCTATCAGCCTTGACCCCAGAAGTGTCTGCAGCGGAGCAGTTTGGTTTGGAATCTCAAATAATAGAAACACTGAATAATGATTTCCCTTAGTACCAGAGAACAGCTCTTTGATGGCCCATTCAAATTAGATGCAAAGAACATCATCAAAACAATCTCTGAGAACTGGAACGAGGCCACAAAGACCACTGGGACCTCTGGGTCATTATCCAGAGGTTGATGAGAGCTTTGAACAATCTTAACATGAGATGGAACAGAAACAACTCAGCAGTGAAGCTCTCATGACTGATCTTGTCTTCTCTTTCCTACATTTTATCTATGCATACCAACACAGTCTCAATTTGTCTGGGTATGTATTCTTTTACCTGCAGTAATAGAAGATAGGGAGACTTTCATAGAATCGTTTGGCTGGAAAAGACCTTTAAGATCATCAAGTCCAACCATACCTGTCCACTACTAAACCATGTCTCTAAGCACCTCATCTACCCAGCTTTTAAATACATCCAGGGACCTATTTTTATCTCTTCATTCTAATCCCAGAGGTATCATTAGTGGACCTTCCTTTAGCTAACCAGAAGCACCTGTATTGCCACTGCTGCTGCTTTGAACGGTGTGATATGCTTCCAAGGACTGCAAAGAGGTAAGGAATCAGATGATCTTCAGGCTCTTATTACTGAGTTTCATCTGGTATGAAATTTAACTGTTACGACTGCTGGAGTCAGCTCCCTGATTGGTTTATATTTGGAATAGTATCCACGAATTATTGTTTAGTGTCCGGTCCCGTGTACGCTGTGGATGAAAATGGGCTTCCAGCTACTTGGAGAGAGAGCTTGTGATCCTCCAAAAACCTGGATTTCCAGTCCAAGAAAGCATTTTTGTAAAGCCAACCAATCAGTGAAGGTTCAAGTAAATCGCGTTTCCAAGAAACAGCAGATGAGGAGCAGAAATCAGAAATGAAGGCACAAAATCTCCTTCCAAATTCTACAGCAATATTCCTAGATATTACCTGCAGTATCGGAGAGGGAGATCTTCCAGTAGTGGAGTCTTAAAATATCATTAAAAATCAATATCCAAATAGCTTTGATCAATGCCTTAGAAACTCTCAGCAGCATTCCCTGTTTCCACTCAAAGTCAGCAGTGAGCAGGGCCAGGGAAAGGTCCTTCCTGTGAAGCACGGCTCTAGGGGTCAAGAAAGGACACTGCGATATAACGGGTTCCTTTGGTGGTTGGAAGACCTTCATGATAGTGGGTCAGGCGTCCTGGATGCATGAGGGTCCACCCTTTCCGTGGAGCTCGAATGGAGCAATTGTAGCGCAGGAACCGGCAGCCTCCTCCCTGATGGAAACAAACCAAGAGATGGATCAGGCTGGTAAAAGCACCCCAGGGAAAGGGTCTCTGCGGTCTCCCGGCAGCCCTTCTGAAAATGTGAGAAGGCGCTTGGGGAATCTCCTGTGTCCTGATCCATTCAAAAATCTTTTTCCTACCCTAGCCCAGTCATTCACTGCAATCCTTAGTGAGAAGAAGACATATATGGATAAGTAAAGGGTTTTCAGCTGCCTGGACCACTCAAGAGGCTGTACTGCATTCTCAACACACTGGCAAACACTTACCTCATAGTCTATTCCAACTCGGTTCAAAGCAATGTTAATTGTAAAGGTGGAAGCGTCATGATGGGGCATTAAAGAAGGCTGCTCATCAGGTTTGTAGCGAACTACAAAGGCTAGCTCAAACTGAGCCTGCAGGAGAGAAGAACAAAGTGCACATTTGTTACAGAGCTATAAAGTAGTCCATGGCTACTGAGCTGCAGAGCAGGGTGTAATGTTTAAATTGCATCCCACTGCTAAGAGAGAAAGGCAACAATAAGGCAGGAGAATGTCATTGGGAAATTGCGTATTTCCTGATGCATATACTTATGTCATACTCCAGGGTCAGTTCTTCCACACTGGGAAATAGTGTGTGTATTGCTAGAGGATTCTAGCAGCCCTTTCACAAAGTTGCAACCGGAGGAGGTGCTGAGCTGACCACAAATTCTGATGCTAAGGTATACATACCTTGGTATAGTATCCTGGGTACAGTTTTTCTGTGATGGGTGCAATATAGTCCAGAAGAAACTTATACCATTCTCTTTCAAAGCCAATTTGGTTCATGTGTATGTCAATAGTTGGGACGTTCTCATATCCACCTTGTATTCTGCTGTCCTGAAATGGAATCAAGAAAATACCCATAAGGATGGGAACCTTGGACTTCAGGAATGAAAAGCACTAACTACAAATAAATATGATCTAAGGTTGGACCAGATGATCCTTGAGGTCTCTTCCAACCAGGTATTCTATGATTGATGTTTATTTATCAGAATTGCCAGGATGGAAAACTCATTTCAAACAATAATTAAAACCTAAGGTAAACAATATTACCATCAGAAGGGCTGAACACTGTAGCTGCAGAGGACACTAGAGAGGACTCAGACAAAATTAATTAAAAGCTCCTACTTTTTCTTACCGTGTTGTCACCTGTGGACCACTGGCCATAATGTTCCATTTCTTCCACCAGCTCATCACAGGCAGTGTCAGTGAATATGGGGAACCAGTAAACATCTGGGCAAGGCTGCAGAAAGTAGACAGGTGAGAATAGCAGAAATAAGGAGAGGTGCTTGAGGCAAAAGGAATAAGACTAAACTGACTGTAGATTGAGACAGTTTAAGTGGAAAGTAACTTTTAGTTACTTCTTACTCAGGATAAAAATTTGTCTTCTGATTTATGTGCCCCACTTCCACTTAAGAGAGATGCAGTTGTACTTCTAGAAAAATTATTTGGCCCTAAAAATACTTTCAAGGTCATGTTTCCTCTGGATTTGAAAGACTACGAGGCCATACTGAACTGCTTATTCCTGAGAATGATGACAGTGATGATACAAGCACTGCCCAGATGCCAATCTCCCATTCTGATGGATAAGAGTGATGTTTTCTTACCGTTTCTACCAATTTCCCTTTCAGAGCTGCTGTGTAGTTTTCATGGATGTACTTTTCCCTCCAGTCCTGCAGCAAAAAAATAAGCAAACCAGTCATTTCTGTGGAGCCTGGCTAAAGAGGCAGTGAAAAGCCAGGCACTCACACAGCACAGTATTTCACAGGCTTTGAAGATCCAGATTTTATGAATCACATAAACACCCTCTCTTTGAATTCTGTGACTATGCTCCTCATTCCCATCTAAGAGACATCATTATTACAAAGCCTGGACCTTCCATATTGGTGAAGCCAGTCATCAGATCTTTGCATGCCACATTGCTAAGCCTGCTGAGCACGCAGGTTATCTCACCTCAGGATTGCTGAATATTTGCCAGAGGTCATTGTGGAGGTGAGTTGTCTGATAATTCTCCAGGGACAGTATGTGTCCAAACTGATGCCGATTTGTCAGGTACATAAAGACTCCCTGCAGGACAGAGGGAAACAATCAAGTTTTGTTTCCAGACCTCACATTTCTGTGAGCCAATATGAAATATAAGCACCAGACAGTTTCCCAGTGACAATGGCTCTACACAAACTGTTCATTTATTCATTCTTTCTCCTGTGGGCCTTCAGTTTCATTTCCACGCTGGATATGAGAAACTTTGAAAGGTTAGAGCCAGAGTCAGTAACTCTGTGCCTCTTGTCAGCCAAGGCTGGAAGCAGAGAAGACCAGCTGCTGTGAGATTAGGTTCTTCCTTCTTACCCTCTCAACCCCATTTAGAACAGCCCTCAATAGGCCCAAAACCAAAAACGTTATCTGCATTTAGTGGTCCCTGGCTCTGCGTGGTTTCACAGCAAGATAGAAATCCCACACTGTTCCAAGCCTGCACGGTACTGAGTAATGCCAGTTCATCTTGTTCCATGCCCTGGCAGAGCTGAGTGCCTTGAAACTACTTAATCTTGTCACCTCCACCCTGGCATGCAGTTCTCCCCTGCCAGCTTCTCTCTCCTCGACTGACCTGATTCCGAACGTTATGGCAGAAAGCCATGTCAGCATCCAGCTTGCCACTGTGGAAGAGATCTCCCTGGTCAAGTTCTGATCGCAGAGCCTTGGCTTTAACCATGTAAACACTGCTGATGTAGGGAACGTTCCAAAGCCCACTGAAACACAGGGGTCAGAGAGTAAGCCTTGAAACAGCACTAAGACAGAAACTGCTGGATTTGACAGGGTGGAAGGCAGCACTGCAGTATCAGCCAGGCTTGCTTAAATGAGCCAACTCAGAATAGCAGGGAGAAACCATACCAAAAGGAATTGTCATTCCAGGAAAAATCACTGATATTGCCCAGAGCTTTCAAGCTGCACAAATGCTAGTCCACTGTGAAAGCAATTAATTGCTACTGTGTGTTTTTGCTAGGGACACAATTAATGGCTTGAATCTCTTCCCAGAGAGATCAACATTTTTTTTTCCCAGTGATTTAAAAAAACTGAACCAGCCAAAAGTGCATAAGCTGATTTCCAGACTTTATCACACACATAATGGCCTGGAAAAAAAAAAAAAAAAAAAAAAAAAAAAAGAGTGCCCTTCAGGAATGTGAATGAAAGAACAATTACATTTTGTGAATCTTCCATTCAAGGGTCACCTGGTATTTTATGAAGACTATCTGATAAAGATTAAGCGCACTTTACAGGATTTTAAGAATCACACTAACTATAATCCACAGGGGGGAAAACACAGCATGAATAAGATGAAGTGATTTCAGCAGAGTCAGGACTCTTAAACCCTTACTCTGATCATAAGAAAATCTGCCCCAAGTATGTTATGGTCTCTGCTCAGGGGAGAACACAGAGCAGCTTCCAAATGGGAATACAGACTTCTTTTCATCTTCTATGCACAAAGACAGTTGAGCTCTCTGGTTCTTTGACATTAGCTGTTTTGATGATAATGTGCTGCAGCAGGCTTTACATTTGAGGAATTATATCAGTAAGAAACTCTCTTTGCATACTCACACCCTCCGCCTTTGAACAATATCCACATAATCTTCTGAGCGGGCATAGTATCCATCAGGGCTCAGCGCTCCCCAGAAATTTGACCACAGCTTCTCATGACGGCTTACCAGTGGGGCAATCACCAGCCTGCGAGCACAAAAGAAAAAGGTATTGCAGGACAGGGTGTTACCACAGGAAGGAAAAGATTTACAAACCACAGGACTGTAAGAGTTAGAATGTCCTTCACTTACAGAGTTGCTGCTTTTATTTACTTCGTTGGAATAAAATTCCACCTGAGAGCAAATATGGTCACAATCTCCTAACTAACTGCACCTTGCAGCAGGTCTCTTAGAATCCGATTTGTTCTAGCGACTACATAAAGACAAAACTACAGATGATTTACACCTAAAATCCAGGGATTACAACTACAGTAAAAAAAGACCAAATAAGAGGCATTTGTCTAACATTCCATCTCTGACATGGTTCCCCTAGTGCCTTACACATCTCAGTGATAAAAGAGCTCACTGTATTCTTCATGTGACAAATGAGCAATAAGGATTGCTCAGACCAAAGAACTCACTTGTTCTGTTCGATCAGGATCCTTAGAGTCTCTGTGTTCTTCAGAACTATCTCAGCATCCAGGCTAAAGTAATAGTCACAGTCAGGATCCTTTCTGCACAAATCCCTATAGCCAGAGAACAAGAAAAGTCATACCAAAACCCTCCCAGAACAGACCAAGACAATGGACAGAACACCAGGAATTCCCCTACCCTGTAGACTAAAGGTCTTCTAGGTTCTCAGAAAAGTTCAGTTTAATGTAACAACCCAGAAGGCTGGCATAGTACAAGTACATCAGATTCAGTATCCAATAGCATACACTGAGACACAGCCAAAATCAACATTTAGCAAACTGTTTCCCCAGCACAAACTGAAAAGGTTCCCATTTATGTTTGTCCCAAATCCAGACCTGAGCTCAAACTCACACCTCCTGATCACAGACAGGAAGATACTCTGCCACTAGCTCTTAGTTTTACTACTACACTCCTCTTCAGAGATATAGGTGCATATTCTTTGTGATCTATGACTGGGCATATAGACTGCTTGGTGAGGGTGGGAGGTACGGGGCTATCCCTCTAACATAGCAAAGGACCAGTGAGAACTTGGTTTCTGAAGGGAGCTGTTTTCAGGGCTGATTTTTTTCCAATATATAATGGGCATGGGGAGTTAATGCTAGGAAAACTGAAAGAAGAGGGTGACTGAAAGAAGAGAAGCATCCACTTGATAGTGAAGATACCCAGAAAAACTGGACTGCCTTAGTTTGGACACAGGCTGACTCCGCTAGCCATCATGTATGGCCTCTTCACTTACATGCCTAAGTTACGCGCCTCAGCATTCTCCACCTCATCATCTGGTCCAATGACTTTGATGGCGAGATAGTCTTTGCCATGCTCTTTAACAAAAGAGTCCACCTGCATCAAGTGATGTTGCTCCTATGCCAAAGGAAAAATAAGGAAAAACAGATGAGATGGCTCATCCCAGGCTGCTCAACCTCCTGTTCTTGAAAATGCCAAACCAGATGAGCAACAGTGCTTCCCACTTCCACATCTTTACAGCTGGATGGAGCTATCATATAGGTGCCATTGCAGATATGTACTGGGATTACAGGGCCTGGAAGTCTAGTCAAAGGTTGCAAAGGTGCCTACAGTACAGGAGGAGGTTTACATTTTCCCCGCATTTGCTAAGGCCAACTTTACTTACATTGTTGTGAATGAAGAGCTGGATTCGTTGCTTTGGATAATGAAGGTTACGAAGCCGCAAGAAAAACTGGGAGAGGAATGGTGTGGGCTGCTCGATGAAAATGCCAATCAGAACCATTGGCAATGCTTCATCCTACATTCAGTGAGAAGAAGAGAGAAGTGGTGGCTCAGGTACCACACCAGACACATAAGATGCCATTGTAATTGTTAAGACTTGTCTTAAGAGCTTTGAAAAGACATCAGCCTTACCTTAAACCCTGTGAGGCTTCGCAGACCTTCATCACACACAGTACAGCCAGTCTCAAATGTCCATATTTGAGGAATGTAGTTTCCCAGGTAGTTCAACTGCAGCTGCAAAAGGCAATTTGCCATGTTATGCATTACAAGGCAGGGGAGTTCCTTTGCATCCACCCCCAGTGTAAGATTACATTTTATCAGAACTTCATTTACTTTCTTCTTGGACTAAAGAATCTAAAAGGCATGACAGCCTGAGGGTCTAACTACATGGTGATCTTTGAACCAGACCCACCTTGCTGCTATGGACCTGGACCACTTATCGTTTCTCAAGTGTAAGTGTACACAGGGAAAGTCCGTATACGGGAAGACCAGTAACGTGATACACTCAAGCCTAAGGGGTCACTTTGCAACAAAGACATATAAAATCTTTCCTTCAGGACACCCACTTACCTTGGTGGGTCCATTTCCATGAATCACCACAGGCAGAGTGTCATATAACAAGTTTCTTGCTCTCACTCTTGAGTTTTCAAACTTCAGAACTACCTCATCTGGAAATGACATCGCCATCATGGTATCAGAGGAAGGCTTTTATTAATAATTAGCAGCACAATGCCTCATTTCTACTGAACAACTGCTGAAAGATGAAAGTGTGGACATGGATAACCATGCACAAGTAGTTTAAGGGCTACAGACCATACCCAGAAAGGATAAAAAATGTTCAGAATGATCCTGTGAGGTAACAAGAAGATTGCTGGGAAGCTGGACAAACTGCAGCTTGCCGGGCTGACAAATACGCCTTCTACTGGGAACTGGCAGAAGCCACACTGAAACAGTCTTTCAATGCTGGCGTTGACAAAATTGTGCTGTGACAACCAACTGATGGCCAGGGAGAACTCTGGCTCTTCTCACCTAAGCATTCTACACACCTGCTGTCTCTCTTTTTCACCCCAGACAAAAGTCCACCCTCCTGGCAGAGATCATCCAAGATGTCTCCTCAACACAACCACACAACATCCTTTGGAAAACAGACTAGTACAGATCCAAGCTCCAGTCTATGACTGTTGTAATGAGTACAGGAGCCAAAAACTACACTGCCATTATAATTTTTTACCTGACTGGAACAAAGATGGAGTGGTGCAAGACTGTAAACTGAAAACATTAGGCAGTAGTGTCAGGAGAGTAAGCAAATCACTTTTGCCAGGACTAGCAAAATCAAACCAGCAGGTCAGGTCAGAGCTTTGCATGGTCAGTGAGTGCTCACAAGCAGTGTCTGGCTGCATCTCACCTTCTGTGGCATTCCACACTCAGTTTTGAAGCGGAAAGACAGGCAAGCCCTAGGCAGGGTTATGTGTTATTACTTGCACTGAAGTCCCTCCCAGTTTCAATCACCAAGGCAAATGCAATCCGACATGCTTGGAGATCAAAGTGGCAAGGACGTGTAAGATAGAAAACCTGACCTGCATTCCCCCAAGTGAAGAGGGAATTGAAATGAGAACCTAGCTGGTCACAGTAGAAATGCAAATAAATCCCAGAACTCTGGCAGAGGCTTTTTACTGAGGCTCATTCTGCAGAGACAGGAATTTCTGAAATTTAATCCCTTCGGCCACAACACAACTTTATTTCTGGTGTCAGCATGCAGTTGCATTACAAGGAGAAATGAGCTTCCTTCTTCCATCTCACCTAATGCTCCATTTAGGTTTTGGAAGATCCGGCTTCTTTGGTCTAGACTGATGTTGATACTTTCCTTTAAAAGAATGAGATAAATAACCTTAATTAGAACACAAGTGGGCACCCATTCTTTACATGTGAGAGACCCTATGCTGAGTGAAGATATACCACATTCCTGTAATCATTTCCATACTCTCCAAGCTCTGAAGCTAAGACACTCCCAGCTAATCCTCATTTTCACTTGAATCTGGGACAATTTGCCATTTTCTAAAACAATTTAAATGTATTATATTAGGCAAAACCATGCAAATAAACATTTTAAAGCTGCTGTGGGTGTGCCAATAATAATACACAGCATATTGAAGAAGCACACTTGCAGCACAGTCATATAAAACCCACTAAGACAGTTTCTTGCCATCTATCCACAGGGTGAGCATTACCCCAAGTATTGCCCCAGGTACCGGTGTCAAGCCAGAACACAGGAAGGGTGCAAGGCCAGCTCATGCAGTTTTTGTTTTTTATCCCCTGCTGCAAGTCATACTCTGACTGGATTTTTGTCAGACTAAAATCCAGCTCTGACTTAACAGTGTCCCCCCAGGCATCTATTAAGATTGATTACTGGAAAGGACAGCAGGGTGCTAACATCCGCTGTCTGAATGCCAGCTCAGTGGAATTACTCAGCCTTTGTGTGGCATAGGGCCAGAACTGCAGATGAGAACATTAAAGGAACTGTTCACGTTAAAATATCATGGGCCATATTCAGATTTGGGGATGGAAAAAAGTGAAGCTGTTCTGTATTTTTTACCAGCACTGCTGGTAAAAAAGTGCAACTCCTTCCCTAATCAGTCTGAAAGTAGTTTCCTATTTCCAATGCTTCCTCTCGACTTTACTGTCACAGTCTGACTTCTTAGTTCCCATGCATTTGTGGTGTCCCTCGGGAACAGACTGCACTGCATAATGCAGAACTGAGCAGGGACGACAGAAGCAGAATCACCCTGTGGGCTGGACGGTTAGGCCAGTGCACCACATGGTGCTGGAATAGCAATGACGCTTCCAGGGTTCATTCCAGGCTTCTGTAGATGTTATGCGGCATGCTACAAAGGCTGACGCAGATTTTGTCAGCCAGGATCTGGAGGCAGTGGCAGCCTCTTTGTTCCTGCAGGGCTACCCACTGTGATGCCTATGGTCTCCACCCTGGGGCACAACAGTGGCTACAAGGCTGTGAACCTTTGTCCCTTTCGTTACCTCAAATTTGCTCAGGCCTCATCTGCCCCTTTTACCTACAATGTACTTCAGTGCAAGGTTGGATATCTCTAAGTCAGCACTGCACAGTTAAAGTCTGGGTTTCACATCCCCGGGAGGAGGCTGGTTAGTTCTGCCACACTCAATAGCTTTAAACATCAGCACCTACAGATACTGGTATGAGTTTCCAGCAAGACTTGTTTTAAGGCATCTATTTTCCCATTCATGTTTTAAGCTTAAAGATAAAAACTGCTAATAACAGAACAAGGGGATAGTGGCTAGAATGCAAATTTTAAGAAGGAAAATGGGTAGCTAGACATACTACTGGCCTTTTCCATGCAAGGATGCCAGAGCAGTAATTAAGGGTCAACATGCACGTCATTAACTTCTTTTACTGTCAACAGGGATACTGCACAGAGGATTAACAGCAATGCTTCTCAGACAACTTGTCCTAATGCCAAAATCTAGCTACACCTACTCTTTTTTCTGGATCCAAGAAGACATTTGTATAGAAGAGCTGGTCACTGTCATCGTCCTGTCCCTTCCACTCCTCCACAAGCTTCTTCAGGTTTGGAGCATAACCTATGAAGCCTGGGGGAATAAGTATGAAGAGGTGTTTCAACCCATATAACCAAAAAAGGGAAGTAGTCCTGTATACCCCCTCACCCTCACTGTTTTCACACAAAGTCTCACTCCACCCTGTGCTCCTGCGGAGATACACCAGCTTTCAGCAAAGGCATATACAGACTGCACTTCCCAACATGGAATGACACCAGGATCAGACTTGTATTCTTCAGCATCAGAAAAGCTCAGATACCCACACCCTGAGTGACAAGTCTCACTGAAAAGAGAGAAGGAATAGGGAGCAGGTTCCTCTCTTCTACAGGCAATTCATAGCTATGTCCCCTCCTGCAGGTAAAAGACAGGAGCATTGCTAGTCTTTCCATTACAGCGAGTTATGCACAGGGCTTCAGTTTGCACCATCTTCAGTAAAGATGCTTTCCAACCTGGTCCCTTGCTACTTCTCCCAAAAGCCTTCTAATATGAGGAGAAAGCTGAGAGAGGTTCTCAGATGAAAGAAGTCTTACCTCCAGAACCCAGGAAGCGCTTTCCATCTCGCACCTGAGGATACTTGGCTTCCAACTTTCTGTCTGGATAGATGTAGTTCTCTGCTGAGAAAACCACCTTGCTCTTGGCTTGTTTGAACTTCTTCAGCAGTTCTGTGGGGCCCGAAGCAAAGAGTACATCATAGCTAGAGTAAAACACAGACGTGGAAGGGTCAGAAAAGAATGGAGTCAGAAAAACACGTCAGTGTGAAAAGTTACTAGAAACAGCTGATTTTTTAGGAATCCCTTTCTTTTAGCTCTGCTTCACAGTATTACATTTTTTGTCATAATTACAGCTAATTGAAGTGCAATCTTATTCATTGTGGAGTTGGGAGTTACTTTCCACTGCAAAAGATTCCACATTGGCCTGGGGGAAATTACACCCATTCTTATTTTTACGAAGTTTTCACTGATGATAAAAACAAATCTTCCAAGCTGCAGAACATATTGATCTCTTCTTGCTTTTCCCCCATTTGGAACTGTGAAGCACTGGTGCCCTCACTGTAACAACTTTTTACTTATCGGAGGAGGAATTACTCTGCCATTCCTTTCCAGATTACACAAACCTGTAGGTCATGCTTTTTACATCTTTTGGCATCCTGCCACTCTCCACTAAGCTCCCTGAAAATCTTCAGGAAGAACCTATACTGGCCACTCGTCACTGGATGCTGCACTCCAGCCTCTCTCCCTTTAGTACTGGATAGAACGGACTAATTCCCAGGCAACACTCCCAGAATGAAACTTGCATTTTCTGCAAAAGGATTTGCATACTTCAAAGTCATTTTGGTGAGTGAAAAAGTTTTTCATTCCAGAGATTCATCATTCCCAACTTCTCTAAACACACGTAGACACTCAGAGCTGCAAAAGATGATTTCCCTGCCATGGGAGCTAGAGACAGATACAGGGATCCCAGCCCTGCCTGTTGCTGGGCATATGAGAAGACACTGAGACTCCAAACTGTCCTTTTCCCTCTTCACATTTCTCTGGCAGACTAATTCTTGGCTCTCAGGATTGTGCTGCAGCCTGCCTCACTTTATAAAACAAATAATTCTGGTAAGAAAGGCCTGCATAGATCCACAGAAATCGTCTCCTCATTCTCTGCAGACAGAGGCAGCCAAATTCCACCCTGGCAGAAACAGGTATAACACTATCAACTTTATGCAAGAGTTGGAATCAGCTTGTTCTGATCAGACCTTCCCAGCTGCCACGGATGCAGCTCTGAGCAACTCTCAGGCAACTGCAGAGAATTCAGGGGGAAAAAAACAGAGGAGGTCTGGACACACCTTCCAAAAGCAATCTACTTCACAGTTAATTTCTTCTTAGTAAGAACCTGTCCAAACAGCCTTATGATTCAGTTCATGGAAAATACTTTCCAACCCATTACCTTTCTACGAAAAGGATGATCAAGTCTTCCTTATCCGCATACTGCTTCAAAGCTGATTTCAAGAGACGGACCTTCTGCCCACCTCCTGCTGGCTTCTTGTCATCTCCACCCTGCCATTCCTCATCCAGCCCCAGCACCTAAAAAACGAAAGGCACAGGGTCTATTGAACAGATCGCTTTCCCAGCAAGGCTCACAGGAAAGGACCAGAACCCACAACTTTACTAGTCCTGGTAACTCCCAGTGCAAATCACAACAAAAAAAGCAGCATCAGGACAAACAGACTAGGTATATACGCCAGCCTTTGAGCCATTCTCTGGGATGCACAGCCAGAGTAACACGTAACACAGTAACAAAGCACTCTCAGCAACAGGGACAGAATCACACTCTGTACTGTGTATTTTGGCATTGCAATGGAAAAGTGCCACGGGGCTCCCTTGAGTAGGAATTATGGATCTCATCTCAAGCCAACACTCAGGATGGAATAAGAGACCGCTGCAGAAATGCCCCAGTCACAGTATTTTTCAGTCAGCTGAGTTGGTGTGTCCTCTCTTGAGCTTTTATTTAATCACTTTGTGGCCCAAGTCTTATCCATTCCACACATCAAAATTCCCTTTGGCCAACCACCACCGTGGCTGCTAGCCATCACCTGGACTTTGTAGTTGAAGAATCGGGCTGATCTTCTAAAGCGTTGGAATCCCTCGGTCTGCTTGGTGGCAACAGTAAGAACCAGCAGGTTTTCTGCATACAGGAGAAAGAACAAGAGACACATTGACCTCGTGTTGTTTTCATAACCAGCTGTTCCACACCTCACAAAGAGGCTTTACTATCAGATACTGAGCCAAGGTAGGGATCAATAGTCTTAAAGGTACTTGACAGATTTGACAAAGGGAAGTCAAAATCCAACTGCTGACAAAGTGACTTTCCCAGTACATTCTATAAGTTGATCATGAATCCACCAATAGAATCCAGGAGTCCCAACTTTTGCAGGAACAGTCACTGCTGTTCATGGACACAGGTTACGTCTGTTCTATAAAACATTGACAGATGTCCAGGTTCATTTTAAATCAGGCAAGGGAGACAGTCTAGCTGTGGAGCTAACATATCCTGCTGAGAAGAGAACAGCTTGCTTATACCTCACCCAATTACCTCTACACTGTACAACGTTAAGCACTACACATGTTCTCACCACCCACAAAGCTTCAACCTCAGGAAGAAAACCAGCTTCAAATCCTACTGATTTGCTGCCTGTATTTTCTTGGCACCAACTCATCAAAGATTCATATAGGTAAAAAAAGAAAGTGTGGACGTAGCCAGTGTTTTACTGGAGGAACTAACTATCACAGGTGACAGAACAGGGAAAAAGCACCCTCAAATTTCAGTGTTTGATTGAAGAACCCAAACCTAATTGCAGCACAAGCAATTTGCAGCCGAGGGAGGTTAGAACTTGGTCCTGGGTATAAAACGAGAGATTATGTAAAGATACAATTTCATTGTCTGAGTTATGAGCTAGAAAAAGAAAATACACCGTATTAACAGTTTTTTTGCCCTGCTATTGAAAGCTACAATTCTCTCACATACAGTACGAAGGAAATTAAATTTGAAGACAAAAAATAGAACTACTATAAAATACCCATTTGGAAGTCATCCATTTAGTGCAATTGGCTTCCTGTTCCCCACAGAGTTGCTTTTTTGTCACTCAGCATTGACTGGGTACAGAGAAGACCAAAATTAGGCTGTTAGTTATTACTCCCTCTCCATGGCTGCTCCAATTTTCTACTGCATTCCTAAGGTGTTTTCCAGGTTTTTTCATACATACACAATATGAATTTAATTCCACCGTAACTTTTGTTTACATTCTCCTCCCAAACTTGCTTTTCATTTCCAGTCCCTTAAAAATGACAAAGCTAAATCCTGAAGTTCTCTTTCAGAAGTTTCTCTATAGTATCACTGGAATAGGATTTTTTTACGTGGAAGCTCTGGTTTCTTCATTGTAATGATTAAATGCTATACTTCATCTTAACACTTTTGCTTAAGTAGGAATTTGTATAGGCTCTGGCAACTGTGCTTAAATGTGAATCCTGGCCATCCGATTTTAACATCAGAAAATACCAGGAAAAACAGAAAGCACATTTTCTTGGCTTGAGCAGGCTTCTTTTGGAACAATGATTTTTTTTCAATGGATGTAGCAGATGCATCTTCCCAGTGTACCCAATCTGATATTCTGTCTGATCTTAAAAAGAATGGATCTAGGAGCTGGAGTCCTAGATAGACCTGACGAAGGCAGCAAAAGCAAAAAGTAAGTGTAAGACTCCAAGTTAGGAAGAAAGAGAATGTTCCCAAGAAAATTCCTAAAATCCTTTACCTGCATTGGAATAAAAAGAGAGATTGAGAACAGTCAATAGAAGGTCAGCTCTAATTGTATTTTGTTAGACATTCACACAGACAGACAAAGGGAAGGATAAGTAAAAGAATATGAATCCTGCATTTGTCCAGTTTTTAAAGGCATATTTTTGGATGAATGAGGTGCATTCGTAATCCAGCTCCTCCAGCACACTCCAGTTCCTTGTGTCCTGTCCAGTCAGAGGGTGCAAACAAACGAGTAAAATATGTATCTTGTCAGGGAATGTGTTAAAGCCATTAAAGTTTCTAGCCATACAATGGCATGCAGAAAACCATGGCAGCTTTATTAGGTAGTTCTGAGCTCATGGTTTCTGAGAAGGTGAAGATCATACTGCCAGTGACAAGGGGGGCAAATATGGGCTTGCCAGAGAGGAATGTAAAGACAAACATCAAATTCTAGTACCCAAAGGGAGAGGAGGAAGAATATGATAATGATAAAAGAAGGAAAGAAAGAAAAGACCCTGACTGCTATGCAATTATTTCAGCCTGAGTTCTCAGGCATCTCACATGAAATAAATCCCTAATTCATTTCCACCCTGCCACCCCAAGAAAGCAACAAACTGTTTATGATATGACTGCCAGAAGTTTGCTGGACGAGATGCGAGAGTTAAAGGCTCACAGGGATGAACAGGAAGCCATGCCCTATTTCTAAGACAGAAAAGGTTTCACCGTGCAGCGTGTGAACTCACTGGAGCATGGAAAAGCCAGCACAATTATCCTCCCCAGCAGAATTCCAAGTTACAGATTCCCTTCTCATTACTGCTCCGTGGGAGTAGGGCTCTGAGAGACATTAAGCTCAGTTTCTGTTCTAAGAAATCTCTGCAGCAGTGAGAGCTTTCCCCATCCCAAGAGACATTCTTTCAGTCCAGTACTAGAAGCTTGGGCTGAGCTATGCTGCCTCCATTCCCTCTCCTTTAACCCTTTTTTCTCTTTCTCGAAGATGTTGCTGAATGGTGGTACAGCTGAAAGGTATTTCCACAGGCAGAGCAGTAAACCCTTTTAATTTCAGTATCACACGCAGGCATTTTAAAACCTCTGAAAGCAGATTTGTGCTTCCCTATTTTCCATGTCACAGTTACTTTTCATATGTAGAAACAGTAGTCTATTCTGTTAAACTGGGCCTCCAGTGCCCAGAGACTCCTTGGGCCATGCTGACAATTAGAAATCATATAAATACATTTAATAATGGTATGGCTGCAAAATATGAACACAGTACGGTTAACGAACCAAGTGCTGGATTAGGAACCGGGGGAGCTGGACTGTACTGCTAGGTCTGCTGTGCAACAAGGACCCAATCTTGCTATCCCTCTGTTTTTCCATCGGTAGAATGATAATAGAGGACATTTACCACTTTTGTGAGAGCTTTTGAGCACTAAGATGAAAAGGATCCTGAGCAAAGCACTGGAACAGGGACTCTGATATCAACATCACACTGAAATGACTGGGTAGACTTCCTGAGTTTTTACAAAGAGTAAAAATCAGTGACAAGATAAGTTCAGTAACAAAAAATTTTGGAGTTATTTACTTCTGCCCTGACTCTACAGGGAAAGCATCAGTAACAAAAAATTTTGGAGTTATTTACTTCTCAGACTCAGACTGCAGCTGCAGCTGCATTTTAGGACAAGGAATGAGTTTATCCCTAGGCTGTGCTTTGGGAAATCTTACTGTGCTACTTTCTGTTAAGGTAGCATACAAGAAAATACCATTAATAGGGGGATCAAATAGAAAAAAATCAGTGCCTAATTTAATAGTGGATAATATAATCTCTGTATTAAATTTACATTTACAAAAGTTTATTTTAAAAGACTCAATTAACTACAAATAACCAGGCTTAGAGCTTTTGCAGAGATCTAAAAGAACATAGAAGAGAGAAGACAGGTATCATTATTCTCATATTACTCTAGGGAAGCTGGGGCACAGAAAAGGTAAGGCATTTTTTCCTTCAAGCCATGCCAGAAATGATGGGTTCAGAAAGCAGTTAATTCCAAATCCCTCTTGCTAACCAACATACCTCCACTCTCTTTCCCCAGTACCCAATCTTGTATCTCTAGTGCACTCTAAACCCTAACTAAAACCAGGGAAGATTTGGGGTGTGTGAGGAAGGCAGGATAGCACAGAGAGATTAATTTCTTCCTTACATTTGTCTAATAGTTATCCTAAATGCTGAAATTATTTTACTTTAGTTATGCCACTATACCTAAAGAACTCCCAACACTTCCACAGATACACATTAACTGTATTAATATATATAGTAATTATATCAGAATCACATATTCTGAGGGGAAATATTCTAGGTGCAAGATGCAATCTCCTAATTGCCACTTCTCTAATGAAGGCAGAGATAATTATCCAAACTTCTTGGCAGAGTGACAGTGTATGAACCTCTTTGTCAGCCTGGCTGACATTCTGTAGCTGCCCTAATCCTCTACTGTTCTACCAACTACTCTTCGGAGCATCTACCAACTGTTTATGTGGGATAGACTGATGTTATTTTGGGAGCATCCGGATCTCAGATCACAGCGTGGCCAAGCTGGGATCAAATGCTTTCTGTTACTGAATTCTTGAACTGCCTAAGTTCAAAAGCAGGAAGGGCTGACCCAGGTGGGCACGCAGCCCAAGGGGCCGCGAGTACTTTACTGGGATGAAATAGTGTCCGAGGGTCCTCTCGCACAACTCAGATCTCTGAGCGCCTGCCTGCTTACTGAGGCACTCAAGAAGCGTGTGCGGAGGACGCCCACGCCAGGCTGCGCACCGCCTCAGAACTCGGCAGCAGGCTCTGGATGCCGCCGGGGGGCTCAGACTCGGCAGCAGGCGCTGGTCTCGGG